ATTTTGGATCAGTGCCATGAGAAATAAAGTTAGTTTTTTTAGGGGTAAAAACAACAATAGAAAACTGAAACATTACAACACAAATAAATCACAAAAACACAATAAACTCAAAATGCTGGGTCAACTGATCCAGAACCATGGCAACTGCACAGTAGACTAGTTCTTTCAGAAGTGCTGTGATGGTTATTTTGTGTCCATGTGAGATGTGGTTCCCAGCCTGTGTTGATGAATCTAAGAAATCTGAGGTTGTGCAGATTTCACAGTTGTTGCTCCTTGTGTCTCTTCGTTTTGTAGCCAAAGATAACTGTTGTTGTGAAATCGATCAGCTGGTCGATTTCAGTGATCATAAGGATTTTCTGTGATGCTGCATTTACATCTTCTAGTATACTTCACCTAGTCTTGGTAGTCTGACCTGATGTCCTGGCTCCACCTTGTCATAGCATTTGTGTTGTACTGTGTCAGTCTCTAGTTGTGAGAGCAGTTGCTTCTTCCAGATGTTGGACCATTGAGCTACTAGTTGTTTCAATGTTAGTCTTGATGTTGGGTGTCGAAAAATCCATAGATTATCCATACATCCTCTTCACGTATCAACCTCACTAGAACTACATGTGTAGTAGAATGCCAATAATTTCTTATTCTCATTCCATGTCCACTTAAGCCTTCCTATTCCGGTAGCCCACTTTTCATCAGAGTGCCCCGGTTTCTCCACACCTGATGTGGACGTTGTTAATCCAGGTGACGTCCAAGCTGGCATGGCTTCAGTTCTATATCTCTCACTCATAGGTAGGCTTTAGGCAGGGGCCTAGCCTGGAGACCTCTACTTACAAACCTTTACTGGTTACATGCCCTGGTCAGGATTTGAACCCACAGCCTATTATTCAGAAAACCCTTAGTGTGACAAATAGGTATTTACTAGCTGGGCCCACGTCCTCCTTTTAGGTTTGACAGCATTTTAGTAAGTAAAGGTGATGCTTTGACATAAATTGAGCTGCGGTTCGAGGAAGGCCTCGAAGGGGACTGGCGATGGCTCCTGGCAGATCCCCGTGTACTGAATAGAAGTGAAGAAGTTAAAGAATTGAGATCATGGAGGGAGGGGCACGTAGACGAGGATGAACAGCTTGCAGAGCTGGGAGACCTATAGACAACTGGAAAGAGCGTGTTTGGAGGTGTGGTCCTGAAATTCTGATACATAATCTCCAATACAATCTCCCTCAGACAGCTGTTGTCGTGAATTGGCACTGTATTAAAAAATGAATTGAAAATTGAGGCGAATATTGTAAATTACATTTAGGAGGTTATTCCTCACTATGTCTTGTATTATATGCTTTATTTGCTGAGATAGTGAGTTCTTAATGTTCCCACATGCTGGGGCATATGATGCAGTGGTTAGCTGTCACCTCACAGCAACAGCTAAAAGGTTCAAGTCCACAAAAAAGGTTTTTGGTTAGAACGTGAGCGAGGAACTTTTATGTCCAAACACAAGTGTTCAGGCAGTTGGTGATTCTAAAGTGGTTCAAGTTTATAGGGAAATAATGTGGCTATAAAATGTTTCAGTGGTAGTATTGTCACAGTGGCTCAGTTTATAAAGCTGAATCAGTTCCATATTGAGGACATTTACAACCATTACAGCCAAACAGACAGAAAAATAAAATCA